ATGTTCTTATAGAAAACATTCATTATTTGAAGCACAAATTTGGAAATGAACATTTTTTGCAATTTGCAATGAATTCGACCAATTCCAACCAACTACACATATGTACTAATGACACCATCACCATCTACAACTGTACATTATCATCATTTTTCTATAAGAACATCTATATAGAAGAATAAAAAAGAAAATAAAAGAATATAAAATAAATTTATGCTTACAAATAAATATTTTAAAGTTTCATATAACCTTTAATAATCTATTCATTATTGAAGAAAAATCCCATTTAAATTACATATATTGAAAATTAGCAATTTTCATATCATCTTAAAGAAAAGTTGTTTCAACTTCATATTAATGTAAGTTTTATCTATTGAAGAATGAAATAGAAATCTGAATGCATTTTTACAAGAACCGTTCGTGGGTATGAGTATGGTCTTTTCTTTAATTATATCCACACCCACCTACACCCTTCTTAATTTTTTCTCGCTATAATGTTTCATTTTATTTTCCTTCCGAACTTGGATTGAATATTCTGTCTAGTTCTCACTTAAGATATAATGAGTTCATCTAAATTTTCACGCTCTATAACCTCCATCGATCATTTGAATGATGACTTGAAGAACGATTGAAGAAAATACATGAAAAATGGGATTACGAACCTTGAGAAAAGTTTGTTTTTAATTAAATGTTTTCTTACCAATAGAGATGATACGCGATGGAAACGTATTGTGTAATATATGACGACGACCATTGCTACTCCTGATATCAATACTATTCGAAAGTTTCAAAAAAGCTAGATAGATAAGAGATCATAAGAAACAGAATAGTCGTTAAGAAGTTTCTAGAAACTCAAACCTCTAGTATTTCAGCGCCTACAAAGCATATGTAAAATTTACTCCTGTTATACATAATGATAGAACAAACAGTTTTTCATAAAATGATACGTCTTCCATCTCTCTACGATGTTTGTTAGTGAAACTACATCAGGTCTATTGAAAGCTTTCAGCAGAATTTGTTTTTCAAGTCATTTTTCTTCCAATGGTAACTGAAGTGACTAAAACGTCATTACCAACGAGAGCATGTTTGATCACTCCACTCATAGTCTTGATATATTTCAGAAATCAATACTCTATTTCAATCGTTGTTTCATCAGTGGCTCGTCTGGAACCGCTATATGGAATAAAAGGTTCATTAAAATTTCATCGAAATTCAGAATATGTTTCATTCGTTTACTAATAACTTTCTTCATTAACTATTCTATATTCTTATCTTGCGTAAAGTATTTTTTGCTGATACATACTTTTTTTATCAACATCAATTATTGTTATTGGATTCAGATCAATATATTGTAAGAAATATTTATCAAAGATTTTACACAGTTAACTCTCTTGTCAAAAGTTTAATAACAGAACCAATATGTTGCTTCATTACTGAACACGTACTCAGTGTTTTTAATAATTTATTAACATAATTTGAATATTTGAAATGTCTTCATATTACTTCGATAAAAAATTTGTATTATTTGTTCTCATGTGTTATTAAAAAAATGAAAAATTAACATGGAAACTTGTATTTTTTTTCATTTCACAACTCTTTCTTTCTCTTAACAAATTCTAACTAGATTAAAGAATACGATGGTATTATTAATTTGCTTTTATATTTTATTAGCAGTTTTTTTAGACGGATCAGAGTTGTAACCACTGAAGCAATACTAGACCGGTTAAAACCGATCAGTTTATGAAGTTGTAAATAATTTTATTAACATATAAGAGGCACAATACATAACTAATAATACAGAAAAAAATAGAAAAAAAAAGCACAGCAATAGTCACAGTACGTGTTTACTGTTCGATATTATTTGCGTTGTTTTGCTACAATTGTCGATAAACCATCTAATAGTATCTGAAGATCAATTTCATAATTTTAATAACGTTTATTTATGTATCAATACGTTATTGCATTGCAGTAGTCGCTACTGTTTTTGGTCGACCTTGAGCACCAGCATTCATTTGTATCAACATGTGTCTAAATCGAGACTTCTCCCCTTGCAGACATTTAATAAATGATTAGATATTTGGATGAGATATTGCAATACGGTGATTTAATCAATTATAAAAACTTGTAAAGGAACTTGAATATGAATAGAACAGTTTTAAAAAAGTTGCCTTCGCGTATGTTATTAGTACGATGTTGAAGATCATGAGCATTTCAAAGTGATAAAGAAATTGCTTTCATCCATTGATTATCGAAATACAAAAATAATTGATGCAATGTTTCTTTAGCATTGTCTGATGAATTTGTACGTAAATCATCAAATACTACTTGAATTTTGTCCATCGGTAATAAAGCTAAAGCCATTGATTTTCATACACAACTACGAATATCAATATCATCCACATAAATCGTACTTAAGCCAAGAGTTTGTCCACGTTAGTAAATTGCTTGAGTTAGATGAAAGAAGCAACAACTGTGAATAGAATCAGGTAACTAAATATAGCAAGAAATACTTTTGATTAATCTATTAATTAAGACTTACTTCAGTAGGCGTTAATGCAAGAATACTTGGTTCTAAGTCAGTGAGAATATGACTTGGTTGAAATGATCTTTTTAATTCTGCAGCAAAATCTTTTAATTCATTAAATAGTTATAAATAAGTAGATTTTTTGTTATTTGGTAAAATGCTAAATACACGAGAAAAATCGATAAAGAAATAGAAATGTAACAAATCAAAGAAAATATATTTATTACTCGAATCATATTTCAAAGCATGAATGGAGAAAATTTGTTGAAAGAATGATCGAGTGGCACTGAAAGTGTCATCCATCATTATCACTGCATTGTCAAACAACAGTTCGACTGTGTTTTGGTACAAAGTATTAACATTCGTTTTCTTCGACGTATTATAATATCACGAGCTAAAAATGGTTAATTATTAAAAGTTTTTTGATAAGGTTCAAGTATTTCAAATCTGAATGAATCAGGTAAAGCCGGTGTCATTTGTCTTCGAACATATGTTAAACCTGGTTCTAAAATAAAATTTATAATGCATGCATTGTTCTGTTAATAAGATATTCATTCTTATGTAGTTCACGTGCTAAAGGCGTAATTGCTAATGTTTGTCGTGGTATTTGAGATAATATAACCTCTTCTTCATAAATTTTAACAATTGGAATTGTTTCTTTCATAACACGTTGTTTTATATTTGTACGAAAATGTTTTAACTGCATATTCTCAGGATGAGGTATATGATTATGATCAGCAGTAACTTTGAGTACAACATTTTGAACATTGGTATGTACATACGCAGAACATTCATTTGTTTAGCATACCCAATATTTCTTTGTTTTTTTTGTAACAAAATATCATTTAAAACCAACAATGGTTTACCTTTGTTGGAAATAAGAAATTATGGTTTATCTCGGGTGATTCACATTAAATAAGTCAGTATTGAATCAACAAAAAAAATCACTTAATATATCAAAAATAATAAAAAAATACTTCATCAATTCCTTTCTCGATCAATGGTCATCTTTTTTTCTTATTCTGTTATTCGATTTACACAATGAACTACCATCATAAATACCATAAGAGGATGATATAAACCAAAGCAACACATTTCAGCAGTGAGTTGTGTATTTACGACATCTTCTAACTTTCAACATTTTCCTCATTCTATTTTTTTTCTGCTGTTTTAGTTCCGGTATTTGTATATGTCGATATTTTTTCTTTCGGTCTTTTTTATACCATTCTTATAGTGCACTAGGTCGTAGATTAAGCGTAATGACTCTCAAGTCCTCTTTACAATTCAGTTCAGTACAAACTACTTCTTTTTTATTTATATTTTTTTTCTCCGTCATATATCGGCTTCACTTTTACTGCTCAATCAAACTGACGAAGTTTTGAATAACGTATATTTTAATGTTTGTATGCGCAATATTGTTTTGAAAAGCATCACGGGGGTGCCTTGCAAGCAAGCAAAGTCATACTTCAATTGATAACTATTTTATTCAAAACAATAGCTTACCTTCAATACCTGTACATTCTTTCTGTCATTATCTTTGATAATCACGTATTCTTTCTTTCTCTCATTAGTTATGTGTATAATCAAAATTGATGATATTTTTTGTTCATGTTTAATGTAATGTTTGTATGCGCAATATTGTTTTGAAAAGCATCACGGGGGTGCCTTGCAAGCAAGCAAAGTCATACTTCAATTGATAACTACTTTATTCAAAATAATAGTTTACCTTCAATACCTGTACATTCTTTCTGTCATTATCTTTGATAATCACGCTTTCTTTCTTTCTCTCATTAGTGATGTGCATAATCAAAATTTATCATATTTTTTTGTTGACGTTTAATCTTATGTATTATGTGCAACTTGTAGGTAGGCTAGTTTATTTGAAATAAAAAAATACTTGAAATTTAGAAATAACGGTAAAAATATGAAGAACCAAAGAGCGAAGCACTCCGATATGGCTTCGCTAGCGAGGAGCAGGAATGTCTGCTGATTGTTTTGCCAGTCACAATTTCTTAAAAAGTCAGACGCATGATAGCCTACCAGAGAGATACCCATGCAAAAAAATCGCGAAAAACCTGATTAAAATCGATTTTTCGAAAAAAATCATAAAAAATCAATTAAAAGTACTAAATTTTGGTTAAATTCCGAGTGATAACCGATTATAATCGATTAGAAATCGAAGCAATTCCGATTGATTATTTTTCGTAATCAATTAAAATCGATTTTATCGTAGAAAATCCGAGTAATCGATTAAAAATTGAACCAATTCGGATTGTTTTTTTTTGTAAAATCGATTAAAATCGATTATTTTCGTTCCTAATCGACTTTAACTGATTAGAAGATGTAATTGTTTCCCTTCAGCGAAACAATTTAAATACCAGTTGCAAATTTATTATGTTTATACAGCTGAAGCCCTATGATTATTTCGAGATGAATAATGGAAAAAAGCATTAAAAACCAGGGTTTCATGTGCGGATCTCGGGAAAAGACCTTATTTTCGATGTTAATGATTAAAATCGATTACCCAATAGAAATTAATTAAAACTAGATACAAGATAAGAATTCATTGAAATCAGATACAAGCTAAGAATAGATTAAAATCGGATGCCACATCAGAATCGATGTCAATCCATTAGAAAATAATAATCGATGAGAATCGATTAGAACATATCGATGTAAAAAAATCCCGGAAAAAATCAGATTTTAATCGATATTTTTTTGATTAAAAATCGATTTAAATTGATTTTTACCGATTTTTTTTACATGGGTAGTCTCTGCTACTATAATATAATTGGTGTCTCAAATGTTCTGTTCAAATATATTACTGATGTCGACACGATATTGTATGCAGTCATCTATCAAGAATATCCATTCTTGCGGAATTCAATAGTTTTTCATCTCCTCTCTCTGGATGTGTCTTTTGTTTCTGATGTTCTCTTTTTTGAAGATTCGGTAACAAGAGTTTTTCGTCCCTGATATAACGAGCGTTTCACAATGGATCTCTGATATTTGTTTTTTATCTTTGACTATCTGGTACATTTTATTGAAAAACCGAATATACCACAAGATGCAGCAAATAGGCTCTACAACCTGTAATAAAAATGATTATCTTTTATATATGCCTGTAGAAAATAACGGATATACTATAAATAATTGCCCTCTTAGTATTTTTAAGATTTCTCCTCAATTATCCAATTGATTAAAACACATTTTTATCAAAAGATAGCGATTGAAATTCTCTACAAAACCATATCTAGCTAGATCCTAAAACTGTTTTAGATATATTGGAAAAAGATGAAAAAAAGACACACAAAAGCTGTAAAAAGTAACGGGTTGGACATAATGAATGGTGACGCTTTGCATCTAATGTTTTCATCACTTCGCCCTATTTAAAATCAAAATATACTAAGAGATGCACCGTGAAAAGCTCTACAATTTACATAAGACTGGTTATTTTATAGTTGCACTTTTTGTTTTCAAAACGGACAAAGTTTTGAGCGATCAAATTTCGACCGTGTGAAAATAATATTGTTTTTTTTTGGTATCCCAGTGAAAAATTTTCGCGATTTTCAATCGGATTTTTGTGCAACAAAATCAAAATTAAAATCGATTGATAATTTTGATTATTGTTGATCATGACTTAACTATTATTTGATATTGTTGCTTATCCAGTGTAAAATTTTCCGATTAAAATCGG